AGAGAGTGTCCGCACAGCTTTCTTGTCGTAGGCATAGCATGTCTAGCTTGGAGAACAAGCTGAAGAGCAAAAGAGAATAGTAGAAGCAGAAAGTGCAAAACGTCTGAAAGAGCAGAGGAAGCAACTAGGAAGAAAGAAGAAGAGGCAACAGCAGCCACAGCAGAGGAGAAGAGAAAAACAGCAGAAGAGAAGAAGAGGAAAGGAAAGGAAGAGAAGGAAGCAGAGGAAGCAGAAGCAGAGAAAGAGAAGAAAGCAACCAGGTCACAATCAAGGACCAAGGCAGAGAAATTCCAGCACAAGAATCCGGACATGTATTTTTTTAAACCCGGGTTTGAACTCTATATTTGGTGGAGTTGTGTGCCTTCTGCTTCAAAATTGTTCTACAAACTCTACTTTGAAAGTTACAGGCAGATCCTGCATCTGGACGCTGGAGGAAAAAGAGATGACGGACGCTTTTTGGCTGCTACGGCATTTGACATTGTAAGATGCCTTATGGCTCTGCTGTAGGACGCATGCCAAGGATTTGCGATATTTTTTGTGTTTTTGACTTGGAAATATGCGTAAGAAACTGTTGCTTTTGTAAGATCTTCGATGATTTGGCCAGCACTCATGTAGAACTTCTTCCTCTTCAAGAAGATGGATGGCACACTTGGTGAAAAAGTAAAGGCAGGCAAGAATCAAGAGATGGACGTTCTCGACCAAAGAGCAAGTTCGCACAGTCCATCTCTGGCACGGAAAAATGTTATGGAACGTCAAAACTGGAAGCTCTGATTCGGCTTCGGAGGCGTCCTCTGCACGGATAGAGTGCCTTGCGCGAGTGCCTGTACCAGAAGCCACGTGTTGCCAAGAAACAGCTTGTATTCGGGGTGAACTATTACCTTGCCGCTGCTGGAGCACATACCTGGAAGGTTGTGATATCCTTGTCTTTATGGAGAACAACGCTGCAAAGGCGTCTCCAGCGAAGTCTTGTAGATCAACACGGCTTTTATGCAGGTCCCTACCGCTAGTAACAAAGTGACCTTGCCGTGCAAGGCAGTCGAGCACGCTTTAGGCCTTTGCGCAGCTTCATGAGGTGGGGTCTGCGTCGTTCGAGGAGAGGGCACGTTGTGTTTGCAGGATACGTGGATCCGGCTGAAGAGACCCCACCTCTTTACGCTAGGATCAAAAGAGAAGTGTTTTGACCAGGGCTTAAGGAAATTACATTTTCGATAAGCAACCTTGAACGATGAGCACATGCGCAGTTTAACTGTTTGTTTTCCAACGTTTAATCCAACGAACAACAATGGCATTGTCGACTGCCTCTTGAGTGCACGGCTCAATGGAAGTTGCGTGGACATCGAACAAATCCTTTAATGGACCGTCTCCTTTTCCATGTCTTTGAGCTGGTTCTCTGCCGGACATATTTTTGCGATGTTTTAAATCACCGACAGACATTGATTTCTTGGTGCAAGTTCTCGTAGCCCATGTTCATATAAACGGATTTGATTTATACTTACGTATACAGTAAATTTGAGGTTGGCTCGTGGGTCCGAGTTACCAACACAACACAGCGACACGATGGAAACACTTTCGGCTGTTAAATTAAATGCGAAGTTGAGCCGCTATCTTGCATTGAATTTGGAAGTCAACCTCAAGTCTTGTATTCAGATCAGATCCAAACTTCTTACAGTGTTCCGTCGTTGCTGAATTTCTTGGACGGATTGGTTGTGAACTGCATGGTGGCTGTGACTGCATCTGGACGACCTGATTTGGCCATTCTGTTCAAAGCTGTATTGCTTACGAAACATGTCGCTTCCAACGTGAATGGATCCGGGTGTCTCGTCAATCAAACATTCAATCATGAATCCTGGTGCTCCTGGTCGCAACATTTCTGGACAGCAATTTCGCATGTGTCGGAGCTAGTATTTGGATGAGGATGCTTCAATGCTTGTTCATTGATTGCAGGCCACTGGGCTGCGTTTGGTGGCCATGAAAGGGATCCAGACCGTGAAGCGCCGGATCAACAATGAGGCAAGTGAAGTATTGCGTTTGTGCGTGTGACTCGGCATTCGCGTCGGGACTTGTCGGCGCTTCCAACCGAACTGATTATTTTAAGCCTCCATGACTTGAATGCCGAATGATCCAGAGTTATCCGTGTCACAGCTGCTACACTTTTCAGCATGGCCCAGCTTGCAGCGTTGCTGCACCAACCAGGAATCCCAACAAGCGGCCGCGGAGACTGCAACCACCTCAGGGATCTCAGGGCAGAATTTTGTGTCAAGCAGAAGCTCGTTTTGCTTATTCGTAACTTCAGATTGCTTGAGGCTAACTCCACCGCCGAGGCAGTTGCTGTTTTGGGTCGTGCTAGTTCGTGCGAATGCCAAGAGCAGGTCAAACTTTCAGTCGGCAACATACCCAGTTCATAATCCAAGAACTGCGCCGCTTGGCAGGCACCCAACCAAAGACCAGGCAAGACTTGTTTTGAGTGCTGCCTGATGACAAGATCTGCAAGTTCAGCGGTGCCCTGTGTTGTTTTTTGATAACCTGAGCTCGACTGCTGCGCGAGCTGCGCTTGGCAGGTGCTCCAAAAGGGGAGGCGATCTTCAGTGCGCTGTAGGTTCCTCAGACCTGGCTCGACCAACGTCCTGCAACTCTGCTTGATGATGCCGGCAGAATTGGACAGTGGTTGCGAGTGCCACAGCGATTGGACGATCGTTGCCTTAGCAATGTGCGTTTCGATCATGACCTTGATTATGTCGGTTTCTCTTTCGGGCAGTGTAGTCAGCAGGCCCGTGCAGTTGTTGTAGGAACTTCAGCAGCAGCAACAGAAGAAATAGTGGTGGTAGTGATAGCGATAGTGGAAGGGCACAGGTATTTGTGGTTCAAGTGCTAGTGGTAGTGTCAGTGGTGGTGGTCGTGGGTATGGTAGTAGTCGTATTAGTAGTCGTAGTAGTCGGAGTAGTCGTAGTAGTATTCGTTGTATTAGTAGTAGCAGAAGAAGAAGTAGTAGTAGTAGTAGTAGCATTAGCAAGAGTAGTAGTAGTATTAGTAGTAGTAGTCGTCGTAGTAGTAGTAGGAGGAGGAGGAGGAGTCGTGGTAGTGGTAGTGGTAGTAGTAAGGGCAGGAGCAGGAGGAGGTAGCAGTCGTAGCCGTTCTGGAAACAAATATTCCAGTCCGGGACGATCAGCAGCTGTCAAGACCAGCCGTGCAAAAAGATATTACCGTTGGGAGCAATAGCAACAGCAACGTAGCAATCTTGATTTTGCCGTTGATGCTAATTGTGCTCATCATGTCGCGAGCACCACTTGTACAAATTGATGCTACTGTTCAGTAGCATCCTTGTTCTGCTTCATGTGCTCGAGCCTTATTCTCCTACAAACTCGTGCTCCTATGATTGGCACGAGTGTCATAAGTCTTACATCAGCATGAGTTATGGTGCTGTACATGCTCTTGATATCGTCGTTAACATGCTTGCCTTACTCATTTCACAACGGCAGAAACAAGCAAAAGTTAGGGCTTCAGAATGGGTCCCTCCGCCAGGCCGAAGCTGCATGATGAGGTCCCGGCTGATCGGCCCGAGCTCTTCAAACGGAAGCTGCAGGCCAAGTTGATGAATTTGTCAGGCTGTCTTAAAGGCTGTAGAGTCTTTCAGAGTTTTCAACGAGGGGGGCAGATTCCGAAGCAGTGCCTTAATGATCCCGGAGGCCTGCTGCACGGCCTTCGACTTTAATTCCGAGCGAATGCCTCAGACGTTCCCACGCCCAAGACTTGACGAGCACGCAATCTGATTACTGGCTTTGAGCCAACACCCTTCAGTCAGCATGAGGACGTTGATTTCCTGCCAAGTGTTTCAAGACCTGCGGAGGAGTGACATGAAAGCGAAGGAAGCCAAACGGCAAACACTGCTCGAACTTGTCGAGTATGCCTGCCTGCCTTGTGTTGGTGACTTCAGGGGAGACAGTTTCGAGGCTTCGCTGAAGACTCCTCTCTCCCAGAAGCAACAGCGGCCAAAGGAATCCTTGCATGCAGAAGTTCTTTGTCTCCTTATGTGTTCTGCAGCCCTACGTCTCAGGGCCCCTGCCAGGTCAACAGCACACGGAGCTGCTTCCAGGAGTCTCTGATTCCGGACATCGTGAAAATGGTCGCCTCGAACATCTTCAGAGCACTCCCGGCGAAGGCCAGAAACCCCATACAGGCCTATGCTGTCCGGCAGTTTCAGCAGCTCTGGTAACAGGACCGCTCTTCGATGTCTTTGTCAGATCCTGATGAGGAGGCAGAGCTCGCTCTCTTTGCAACATCTCGTGGGCGATAGTCTCGCTCTGAAGCCTTTCCAGGAGCCAGTTCTTGAAAAAGCCTGGCCCCACCTACAGATAGTGTACGAGTTCTTCCTTCGCTTTGTCCAGAGCTCGGCCCGGTGGCGACCTGGCTCTAGTCGCCAGCTAGCGCAAACGCATAGATTGTACAGGGTTACCTGCCGTGCTCACATGGACAAAGGTCGTCTCCAACGAAGTCGACCCCAAGGCGACGGAACCGGGACCCATAGCATGCATTGCAGAGGAAGTTCCGGAAGCATCTGTGGCAGATGTACAGGTGGCGAAGCTTTCCCTAGATACCAATTTTGTTTCGCAGATGTGTGACTCCCAGCTTCTCACGGGCTTGTTGCTCTTTGAACATGGTTGTGGACACGTCTGCTGGCTGTGCTGGAGGCTGGAGTTGTTTGACTCCGACGACCCGCGAGAACGGGACCGGGCAAAGCCTCGAAGTCGCGGTTTGTTTTCCATTTCAGCAGACCTGCAGCTCCCCTTCGAGTACATGTGATCCCTGTTGGACATTCCCACCTGGCGATTTGATCGCAGCAGCAGAGGGGGCTGTGCTGCCCTCCCCACAGTCATGGTGTTCGATACGGGATGACACGGGTAACCGCGAGATTGCAGGACTACGTAAAGACGATCACGCATCGGATCTACGGAAAATTTATGGCTCTGCGTGCCTTCATCCGCCGAGCCATTCAGAACACGTTTTTCAAGGCCCGGACCTGTCATGGGATGCAGGGTCGGCGAAGGTGTCCTTTGATGCCTGAGGTGATGTATGAGTGTGAGATGCACAACGGTGTCGGTGGTTGCCCCAGCGGTGGAGCACAGGGAAGTTTAAGTGGTTCCGAAATGGGCAAGGGTATTTGACCATCCTGAGGAAAAATGATAATATACGTTTCCGTCCCGTGTGTCACATCAATACTTCTGACACTCCGGCTGCCTGCTAAGTTCAGGTAAGGCTGGAAGCTGGAAGACAGATTATGCAGTTGTGCAGTTGATCTTCCGCACGCAAGTGATTGCACAACTTAAGGACCTGAAGAGCAACTATACTGCTGCGTAATGATGCATTGTCCGTCCTGCTGCTAGGGGAGCTCCTCGAAATACTGGGGAGCATCATCAACGGGTTCGCACTGCCGCTGAAAGAGGAGCACAAGGAGCTGCAGCGCATTCTGACCATCAGCGCAAGACACGAACGGAATTGCGATGATTGCTGCACGCGGCGAATCTGTGACGGTCTTCGCTTGGTTTTAGAAAGCATGCTGGATGTCCACCTAGATTGAATACGAATGGTCAGACAAGCCCCACTCATGCCGACATGCACGAGACTTACAAGTGCCTGCTAGCTACAATCCATAGTCATTCTATGGCATACTATGATCGAGTCTGCTCTGAAGCCTGCAAATGGTGCGGCAGAATTCTTGTTAGTTGATGTCCTGCGGCTGTAGCTGTTTAGCCCGACAGCATAACATAGCTCTGGGGGATTTTTGAAGCAAAATTGCTTTATGCGCCCGCTCTGAAGGACTTCTTGGTGCGTGCCGCTTGGATTGGAAGCTGCGCTGCGGGAATTGGGGCAAGCTGCAAAGTGTGTAGTTCCTCACCAGCCATTCGGCTGCTAGGCATTGATCCCACTTCACAAGATGAAGTTCCTTGCGAGCTTTCATCAGCAACTCTCTTACTGCATGTCGCTCCTGCCTCAGCAGTCAGTGTGTGTGTGTGTGTAAACCTTGTATCCAAGAGTCTTGACTTGACGATTTCGACAAGAAGGGACCTGAGTATTACATTTGAGACAGCAGGGGCACCAAAGATGTGTGGCTCCTGGTGCAACGAAGCTCCAGCCACGCATCAGGATATGGTCCGGGACGCCTTGACCACGTAACTGCACATTGCTTGTGACATAATCTACAAGTGTCGCTGTGCACTGGTTACACTGGTTATTCTGGATCTTTTCTTCTTTCGTAAGGCCTTGAGTCCAAGTCGAACGCGCCTAAGGCACAAATAAATTCTGGAATTCACATGCAAAAAGCAGAAACATCACCGGGCCCCTGTATGCACTGACTATTAACAGCCGAGCAGAAATCAGGAGTCGCGAGCGAAGCTACAGAGCGTAAAGACCGGCAGCCAAGACCAAAAGCCGTAGCTCCGTGCCGCCAAACAAAGTACAATCCAAAGAGCTACAGCGAAAACACATGCTTTGAGCATATTCCTCCTGGCGTAGGGAGAGGCAGACTGCAAAGCAACCCCCAAGTGGTTTTTGAAAAACCACACCCACTCCAACAATCATGGGTGTACAGTGACAGCGTATGTACAAGCACGAGCCAGAGCACTCCTTCAAACTTACATCACACTGGTGGGGCAATCTGTTCATAGGTATTCCCCACTGCATCGCAATGCCAACCAGGGCTGGATCAACACAGCGTTGGCAGTCGAAATCATTAAATTATGCCTGCACCCAGTGCGCACTCGGGGACCTTCGGGCAAGACAGCACGAACATACTAGGCTCAGGTATGTGGTCGAGCTGAGCTAAAGACTTGTTTGCTGAATGCTCAGTGGCCGTGGCCTAGTGATGGCTGCAGAGCCAGAGAACCCGTCGAGGAACTTGTGGACGGTCTCCGCAGGGTCCTTCGAAAACTTGCAGGTGTTTGAGGACTCCTAGCATACTCGAGCATATACTCGCGCATACTCGCGTATACTCGTGCATACAGGAGAAAACCCGCGCATATCGCGCAAGCTCGCGTGTACTCGCGCATACCCGGCGCTATCCGAGACCACAATCTGCAGTCGCGCTCTCCCGCAGTGCTGTTCTTCAGCATGTTGTCCTCGCGATTCGTTTGGTCGGCATCCTGCTTGTAGTCATCTTTCGTGGTGTCGAAGAAGTTCTTGAAGATCATGGCAAAGAACTGGATCTTCTCTTCTAGGACCTGGCTGAACTCGTCGCTCTTGTGGAACTTCTTTTCGTCATGGCGTGCCCGCACTTCCCGTCTGGGCCATGGCATATGGGCACTGCATGGGACCTTCAGATTCCTGGCTACTGGCGACTCCTTGGTTAGTACTTAGATGTTGGTCTTCACTGGATATGGCATGGGGCTAAGCCAAGGAACCCAATTTCGACTGTCAGCGTTTGAACCACATGAGGACCTTGTCGTGAGGGCATTGTCTTTGTCTTCGGCACGTTGGGGTTCAGGCTGGTTGGGGTTTAGGCAGGAAGGTTCAGGTCCCCGGCCATGTTGCCATGCTCTTCACCTTCGACATTCCTGTCCATGAGAACACATGTCAAGAGTTTTTGACGAGTAGGCACTATGCCTTGGTCATCAAGTCTGGTCTTCTCTTAAATCAAAACAATCCTAACTTTCCGCATGTAGGTCCATAGGGCCGGTGGTGTTTGCCTCGGTGCGGCACTCTGATGTTCGAAGCTCGGAGCCACCAATTAAGTCTGGCACCGCCTAGCCTGCTCGGGCACAGTTCAAGGATAAGGATGTTTCGTGCCTTCGTGCAAATGACGTCCCGGTGGCAAACACGAGCTCGGCTTCACGCCGCAACGTTGCGCTAAGAGCTCAAGGTGCTTCAAGCAGCCAACTAAGGACTGGCGGACGTTACATGCAATTTTGATTCTTTGTTTTACTTTCGTTTTGGTAGGTTAGTTTGCCTTGTGACTGCGCCATGGCCTACTGCGGCGTCTCGGAGTGTTACAGCTATTCTCCACCTCGTTCCCGACCTCCAGGGCCAACCGGAGAGCCCTCGGCTCCTGTTTCAACACCGCGATCCACGGCTCCCACTCTGCCACCACGATCCACGACTCCCGTTTTGGCACCACGAGCCACGACTCCTCGACCTTCAGCAGCGCTTGGACTACCACTGGTCACCACGAGATCTACCAGGTTTTGTTCCAAAGGCCGAGAATGAGAACGACAACCGGGCACATGTACGAACTCAAGTCGACAAGCCGGACATCCACGACGAGATCTTCGATACGGCTCATCGGCCCCGCCATCTCCGAGGTCCGAACAGCATCCGGCCTCGCCGACCACATCGCCCCTCCTCTGGCTCCACTTCCGAGTCTTCCTCCCATGCCACTTCCCGATCGACCTCCCTTGAGCCAGCCCTGTCCAGCTACATCTTCAGCAACCACTCCTTCTCTTCATGATGGTCCGGACAGACAGCGATGTCTTACATCCTTTTGGCCGAGTTTGTCGGCAAGTACAACACCTGCTGCCATGAGTACGACTACATCCTCCGCATTTCCGCCTCAACCCGCCGCCGTTATTGATCCGGCACACCGTCCTCCCAGTCTCCGACCATCGCTCCCAGGAATCCAGGAATCTGAACCCCGACAACGCCTACGACTTCTTGTGCATGCTGGTTCAGACCCTCACGGACAGTGGACAACTGCAGTATTACGAGGATTTCAATCCGAGCTCAAGGTGGGAATCGCTCAAGAAGATACAGTGGAATTTGGTTTACGATCAGTTTGTCAAATGCAACGATGTCATCCGCCGCCCAACCGCTCGAGTACCGCGTCTCGAGGAACTCAGGCTACGGGGCGCCATGCCGCCATTACCCTTTCCTACGGACAACCCCGTGATGACCGTTATCAACCTCCTCGTGCACGCAGGCATTTGCATCGACTCCTTCCATGTCACTTGGACGCATATTCCACCTAACCCTCAGACTTCTGACAAACCTGGCGGCCCGATGCTACGAGTGGCTCTACCCTTTCCAGCAGCCCGATTCACACCGAAACCTCCGCAGGGGTACATGTACGGCTTCTGCGCTCACAACGCATCCATCGAGTCTGCCTGCAACATCTTGCAGGAGGGCGTGGTATGCCCCTCCAGTTTCAACCCGACGGATGCAATGCAACTTGGGTACCCAGTCCACGACGTCGATGGGACCATCAGGCATGCGGCTCGCTACGGCGGATGGCGATCCCCTCGCCCGATATATGTATATACGGCCGGGTACCAATCAGCAGACTGGAGATCAGACAGCACGCTCTACAAGCAGCTCGACGCGGCCAAACCAGCTGCCCTGAGGCAACACTACCGGTTGTGGCAATGGATCGACGTTTGAAATCCGATTTTGGAGGACGCATCTGCGAGAACGCCGCCGGATTCTTTTTCAGCATCATCCACGGCAACGGCCAACTTTGGGGCATTAACGCACAGCTTGCCCAGCCGGCGGGCCTCCTTGTGTCCTCTGACAATGTGGCGCTACTTACTTTGAGCTTGTTGAGCTTCAACTGCACTCTCTTTCTCTTTCCATGTCAAGTGTTGCCCGCAGCCGTTTTCGCAACATGATTCATGATTTATGCTCTTCTCGCCGCCGTTTACACCTCAGCTTGCAGCTTTGACCACGAGTCGTAGTTACACATTCCGAAACGGCCGCCCCCGCTCTATCTTCTCCCCAACTACGAGTCCCGTCAAGGAGTCTCTCGAAGCCTTCACTGACCCTCAACTTCTACAGGTTCGTGATGTGCTCCTACAGGTATATGACGGCAGGCCCAACCTCCAGACCGACCGTGTCGCGCCGGCACCTTCTGATCACCCGTGCACCGGTCCGCCTCTTCCACCTGATCAACACTTTGGACCTTCGACAACGTCGTCACCGCTGGGAACCGCCGCCGCTCCTGTTCACCCATCACACTCAGTTCCTACACCAGTTGCATCCGCCCCAACGCCGATGAGCTCGATCATCAGCACCCACGGGACCCACCCTTCCTCCCTCAGGACATGGCCCTCAAGACGAACGACGTGAAGCTCACCGCGATTCCGATCGACGACATGAACGCGATGCTGCTCTAACACAACAACATCGCCGCCGCTCCTCTCCATCCCGGACTCCGAACGCGGGACGGACCGCGCGCTGCAAACACAGTGGTGGAGACATGGTGTATCGGACCAATGACCAAGGGGAAGGCATCTACGTTCCTGTCAAGGCCATGCCTCATCAGGTACGACCAAACAGACCCCCGCGTTCGACGATCACTCTACAACCCAGTAGTGCCCATCACGGCACCAATGTCCACCCTCGAGATCGCGACAGGGACGGTCACCGTGAACGCTCGCGCAGCCGACAACCAGATCGAGGAGGAGCACGTACAGATCGTTCTCGCAGGCGCCGTCGAGAGCGACCACTGCTGACAGTGTTTTCACACTCGGCTGAGGACAGATGGCAGTCGGATGCAGACGGGCATTGCCACCTGGAGTGGCCTTTCACCCATCCGGCGATCAAAAGACATCGGTTAAACCGACGCTGTTACTAGACACTGCTCCTCCATTCCTTGGTTCACGAGCGGGACCGCAGCCATTTAATTTTTGCCCTCCCCGATCCCCTTTGCCCACCATCATGGCCCCGTTCCAATCTCGCGCTCCGCCATCGAGGATCCACAGGACACACGCACCATCCTACCTCTCAGGGCTCTTTTCATCGCCGATCCGGGCCTACATCATTCTATCACCGTGATGGTTCTACCTGGAGTCAACCAGTGCGAGGAGCTCCGCCTACGCTACATAGAGATCTACGAGTTCGTCACACTCGCAGCCCCCCAACAGAAAGAAGCACACGCCCTGACCCAGGAGATTATCAGGATCGTTCGATTTCTCCCACAGAATTACTTCGCCACGGACCCCATCGCGATCATCCATGGGACATCGAACCTCAACCGGACGAACCACCGCCGACTACGATTCCTGCCGCAGACGTGTGCAATATTCTTTATTCAGAGACCATTCGACTTTCGGCCCAGCTTCCCCTTCCCCCAGCACAGCTGGAGCCCACGGGAAGATCCGGTACTACAACAGGCTCGCGCACTAGAGCATCAAGATCGCCGCCCCCTCAACCACCAGATCGGACGTGCGGCCCTCGTGACAGCAATCCCCGACCTCACCCTCTACTTCTCCCTAACTTTGAACAGGTGTACCTTCCCAATGGACATCGGACGACCCCTACGTGGCCAGCAACAATTACCGAGGCTTCTCCTTGCCACGCAAAGTGGTGGACAGTGCCTTCACCCGCATTGGGCATCGCCGACGTGCCCATACATCAAGTCCCTGTCGTTGCTGCTTTGATTTCAAATGCAGCCCAAGCCTGGATCATTCGACTAGTTGCAGCAGGCCGGCCAGTGGTGCTGGAGGTGTTCAGGACCAGACAGGAGTTCCTACTCGCCAGCTTTATCATTCGCATCTTGAGGAAAGGAGGTGATACCTTCGAGGTGCCGGGCCTCTTGAAGCACTTGCATGACAGCGAGAAGGTCTCACCCTCTGGAGCTACAGGGCCCAACTCTTACAGTATATCGCCGACAGTGTCAGCAGGGACATCAACGACATCATCGGCCCTACCTCTTCCAACGCAATCTGCTCGAAGAGATGCAGAAGCTACTTCCCCCAAGCAGCCTACCTCCACTGAAGTCAACAAGTGGATCAACGGACTTTGCAAGCTGCACAAGGATAGCTACCTACAGAAACTCCCGGGCTTGAGCAAGCTGCTGAAGAAGGCCGCTGTGGGCACACTCCCGCAACTTGACAAGTGCCTCGTTGAATGGGGCATGGCCGTGACCATGGCCGCCAAACTCACAGAGACACAACAGGCCCAGGTCCTCGCGATGACCGTCGTACTGGCGACGTTCCAGCCAGCCACCATGTGACCCCAACACAGACTTGTGAACATTTGCGCCTTTCGATCCACCTGGACTCCACCGTTTACTAGCGGGAGGTCTACACACCAAAGTTCTCTTTGTGGAGCTTTACAACTATGCACCGATTAGGCAATGTTCACAGCACATCGCCAGGGGGATCAAAAGACCCGTCAGCCTCCTGCTGTCTTTGTTTTACAATGCTTTTAACTCTAAACATCCGCAGCTATTTTACTTCTTGTACATGTTCGGTCATCCGCGGTTACGCTGTGCCTACGAACCGGAGCATCGCTGTGCACTGGTTACATTGGTTATCCTGGATATTCTACTTAGATGTTGGTCTTCACTGGTCACTGGATATGGCATGGGGCTAAGCCAAGGAATCCAATTTCGACTGTCAGCGTTTGAACCACATGATGACCTTGTCGTGGGGATTGTCTTTGTCTTAGGCACGTTGGGGTTCAGGCTGGTTGGGGTTTAGGCGGAAGGTTCAAGTCCCACGCCATGTTGCCACGCTCTTCACCTTCGACATTCCTATCCATGAGAATGCAGGTCAAAAGTTCCTGATGAGTAGGCACTA